ACCCTGATTTCAAGAGCAAAGCTTTTTCATTTTGTACCCTGGGATACTATCTAGTGTTCTTCAGCATTAGGGTAAGATTGAACAAAGCATATCATTATCTGTCCCACACTGCGTAGGGCTTCCAGTGTACAAACGTTTAGGTGGAATATCTTCTTTTAGACAAACACAGTTAATCTTGCTTCTGTTTCTTGTCTTGAAACACTCAAAGAGATTTAAAAGTTAAAAATTTCCCCTGTGAAAGAGAGAAATTGGGAAGTGTGGCTGCAACTGAGCTCTTGGGATCTTGTCTCCGCAGAAAAGGCTCATCAGGACCACAGTGACCATAGGATGACTTGTGTCCTCTTGCTTTTTGGCCTCACTGATGATCCCTGTGGGAGTTCAGAGCTACTAAAAGGGACTGGACTGTATTCATCACCTAAGAGGAATCAAAACCACTGTCTTTTGAAAGGTCTAAGGCCAGTGCATATTTCTTGGGGACAAAAAAGTCAAAGGATGTCTTTGTGCTCATAATACGAATCAGAACTGAAAACAGTGTTGACATCACATTTTCCACTGAGTGGCCATTTCTTTAATTCTTATTTGAAAACCATATTATAACATTGATATTTTTCATTTTTCCACTGTCTGTCATATTTACAGATTACACTCAAGAGGCAGATAATGAAAGTAGGTATAAAGTATCTCACTATCATAGGAGCAAAAATATCTCTTTTGACCTATTATTGATGGCATGAAAAAAATCAGTTTGTAATCCTCTATTCTTGTTTTGCAGGAAAATAATCTCTGAAAAGAGAATATTCCATTATGATCTGATTCTTACATGGAATATCTAATTTTGTTTTATGACATTTTCCCCCTTTCAAATACTCAAAATATAGATATGATTTTTACACCAAACAACAACAAAAAAAAAACCTTCTTTTTCAGGGCTTTGCTTTCAGCTGTTCATCAAGTGCATAGATTCTCATGCAAATCAAGTAGTAATAAGTCTTTGTTGATTTTCCTGTATGTACAATGTTTTAGAGAAGAGTCTTATCAATAATCTTGTCCATGGGAATACTTGTAAGGAAATTAAACTATGGGAGAATCACGTGATTACTCTGAGTTCTCTCTATGGCAATCACACAATTGTATGCAATTTTGTACCTTGTGAATTTCTCTTCCCATAGGTGGTTGCTTCATTTCACAGAGTAATGGAAGATTTGGCTTTAACAGATGTAAAAGTTCTTAGAAATTAGGATAAAATCCTTTTCCCTTGAAATTTTGCCAATTTGCAATAGTGTTAACAGAGGAATGACAAAATGAACTGAACACTATTTAAAAAACCTAACAAGATCAGGGAGATAAATAAACTGATGAAACACAGAATTAACTGTATCTGGACACAAAATAAACCCTCACTTTTTTATATTGGAGGTAGATATTACACTATAGCTCCTCAGTTTCTTTATCTTCCTTCCTCAGGAAAAACTTCACTTGACTAAATCCCTCCAGATTTGTCCTGTTATATGATACTTCTGGAGGGAGTAATATTTGAGATATAGCAATTCACGACACACCAGTAGAAATGTTAAGCTTGAACAGTGTTGTGAGAGTAAGATATCTGCTCTGACTTTAAATGCAATTAGAGTGGGATCCAGAGAGAGGAAGTATCATGGGGAAAAACGACCATGGGGTTTGTAAGCAAATGTATTTGGGAAACATGCAGGAAGTGTTGCATAAAATCTGATTAGAAAAGACAGCAGAGGGAAGGCATTCAGAAGGGAAATGAGAAGAGTTCAAGGCTAAATTAGTATATGCCCAAGTGTAAGAGTGGCCATCTGGCAACTCCTCCCTAACCTGCACCCTCCGGGGAAAGGAAGCAATGGTGTACATGCAGAAAAGATAAGGAAAAATATCGAACACTTAAAGAAACAGAAATAGGATAAAATAAAATGGGAAGGCCCTAGAAAGCTTTGGTAAAGTTTGGGAAGAAGCAATAAAACTGGAGGAGAAGAGAAAGGGTAAGGGTTGCCAAGGTACTGGTAAGCATGTAGCCTTGCACAGACTTCTGTTCAGAAATCTTTACCAGAGGTGCAAGTCCATGTTTCCAGCTGCTGTTGTATGAAAAGAAAACGAAGGAAAAGGTGTAGTGATATCTGAGGTCTGCAGAGGTTCAGCACCCACTGTTGGGTGGGAAACAGCAGCAAAACCTCAAACACATGCACATGCATTTCTACAAGCAGCAAAGAATAGTCACCAGGTAATGGTTAACAGAGAATAAAGGACACTTGCTGCTGTTAAAATGAACATCAAAAAATGGAAGTACAGTGCTCTCTGCAGCCATATCTACCAAGATATGTATAGGAATACCATTGTGATGTGACCTTGACATGACCTAGTTCCAGCTTCTTAGAAGGAAATGAGTCTGTAATATAAGGTAGGGTCCAGGTTATGTTTATTAAATGAAAGAAACAGAATTTCTACTTTTCCAGTTAAAATTTCCCTAGCTTTTAACTTGTAAATTGTGTTTCCATATTTATAACTTTATAATGGGAATGAAGGTCTATAAGAAATTAAACACATTTATTTGTATTCCAGAGTTTCTTCTGATTCAAATGTTAACTGTCCAATTTATTAATAGAAGGTTTCTTTTTTGACATGTAAGGATCATTTACTTTTAATGGCAAAAAATTGCACCAGATCTGATTATCATATAAATTGTTCTTGAGATAAAATGGGTTAAAAGAAATAGGTGCTTGTCAGACCAGTCCTATTGCTGATGGTATCTTAAATCAGCCCATCACTTCTGCACCCCTGCTGCTTCTCTTACCTGAGGGATATCACTTATTTATGATCAAATCTATTTTTGTTTGGGGTAGACTGCTGCCAGTCTTAGTAAAGTTATCCTGAAGCACTTAGGTCAGTAAAAGAAGTAGTTAAAAGAGCAAAAAATGTCACCGAGTGAATAAAACCATCTCAAAGTTAATGGTTCACAGTGAGACAGAGAGTGAGCAATCAAAAATGTATTCTGCTTAGTATGTTTTCTAATAGGAGGACACTTCAGTAATTATTTTATCTTTTCCTGTGGAAGGATATTAGATGAGATTGTGCAGTAAATGGGGTTGCTATTCCTAAATACTCCTGTAAGCTGCCAGTCATTGCAACCAATAGCTCTTGAGAATGGGAAATTCATGAGATGGTCAAAGTAACATAAAGATGCAATGCAATAGTTTGCCTTTGGCCCCTGGGTCTAACTTGGTTCAGGTGGGGACCATTCCAGAAAGAATTAGAAATACATGCTGTATGTGTTTTAATTATCTTCTTGAATTTTTAAAGATTATGCAACACAGGCCTATGTGCTAACATCTATCTTCAATATTTTGGTGGCATATGGGTAACTCTCTGAAACATCAGACCTGAGCTAACAAAAGTAGAACTTTACATTCATTTTAAGGCCTTCTCATCCAATTCTCTTTCTGCAATGTCTCTGTGGATATGATAATATTTGAGGATAATGAGTATTGAGCTCATAAGAACTCAGAAGCTTTCAAAATTTCAAACCTTGACTGGAATTTGAAGTCTCCATGTTTCATTCATTCAGTGTCATGACATGACTCTACAATTCTATGACTTCTAAAACTGCCTAATTGTTTCTATGCAGAGAAATTGTTCCTGCAGAAAAACGCGTGCTTGGTTGGTTTTGGTCAGATGCAACGTTTACTATGTGTTTTGTCTAGTTTTAAAGATACAGATGAGATGAAGTAAATAACTTGGTTCTTTCATACCAGAGTTGTTCTTGCCCCAGTTAAATAAGAACATTTTTGGTAGAAGGTGCAATAGTGCAGATAGTTGATGATGTGCAGGAAGAAAAAACACTAAGTTTTCTGTAATCTTTTAGTCAATAAGACTTCAATCAGAAGGGGATTGTATAATATTAGAAGTAGATTCCTCAGCAAAGTCTTTTCATGTGAAACTCTTGCAATAGCAAAATGCAAAGCTAATCAAGATGAAAGGCAACTTGTAGAAGTTCAGAACCTTGTGATAAATGCCTTTTAAGTGAGCCAGGTGCAAGATTTCTTGGTTCTGTAGCTGTTTCCACTAATTCTGAGACGTGCCTTACCAGAAACCTACAACAGTACATTGGATATTTTTAATGTGCTTTGATAATAACTGACTGTGGACTTCCTCAGTCCCTTTTCCCCCTCCCTTTTGCTCTTCACATGTGTTAATCTGACATGCTCAGTTGCAGTTATGAGTGTTGTCAGTATTTTATTAGCTGCAGATTTATGGAGCTGGTAGGCTGTTGATTATTGAGATTATTAAGCAGATTCTGATAGCTCTGAGTGCTAGACATTGCTGGAGCTTCAGTATTTTTCTTTAGAATGAAAGATGTGTATAGAAATATAAGTGGTGGATATTTTTCAGTGGAGTTAGAACTCAGAAGGATCAGGTGTCGTCACTGCAGCTGTACAGACACATGGATTAACACAGTGCATGGATTCCATACCTGAGTATTTTTCAGGATACATGGGGGTGAAAGACTGCCTATGTTTAGTCAAATCACTCACATGTTCAACCCCAAAAGGAATATTTTTCACATAACCTGGCAATACTATGAATAAAATAAATGAAAAAATACAGGTTTTGTCAGATCTTCACTTCCCAGCTACCCAATTAAAAAGTATTCCCAAGCCTTAGAAAGGAAATGTAAATAAATACTTCGAATGCAAGAGCTCACAATTGTGAGTACAGTTCAGGCTGGTGAAGACAATTTATTTGCCTGGAGATTGGGGGGGGGGGGGGGAAGCCCTACACCAGCTGTCTTTAGGTATTTCTGAAAGGTACGGTCTAGGATGCTCTTGTGCTGCTACAGAAACCCCACCAAGCTCTTAGTGGTCGGTGCCTGTGCCCATCATTTCCCTCAGGTGTTTCCTTCAATTAACATCTTTTACAGATTGGAGACTGTAAATTGATGAAAAATTGTTCCGTGTTCCTCTTGTTCCGTGCCCTCGCTTCACCCGCTGCTGTGACGGAGTGGGAGAGGGAGAACTTGGGGGCAAATCAACATCCTGCCATCCTCTCGCGTGTGCTGCTCATAGAGCCCTGCACTGCCTCCCACCGTCACCTCTCCAAGCGCAAGGTTTCCTCCAGGCTTCAACTCCCGGAGACACGCCAGGTGAGGCGGACTGGCGGTGTTCGTAATTGCAGTGGGGTGAGGTGGGGATCCCTGTGTCCAGGTAAGGAGGAGCAGATGGTATGCGGGTGCACGGATAGGGAAGGACAGGGAAGGTCATGGGCTTGGGGAGCCCTGTGTGGCTGGAGCTGTGTGGGAGGCGGTGGGAGCATCTCGGGGGCTCCGGGGAGAGGTCCTGCGAAGAATACCTGCTCTTACCGCACGGGATAGAGTGCAGGAGGGTGCACCGGCGCTCCCGGGTGCAGTTTGAAGTTGTTCCGGCTGCTTTCCTCTGCCGAGCAAGGGAGCGGGACTGATTGCACGGGCTGATTATTTCGCGTGCTGGTTTCATTCCCCCTCCCTCCACTCCCACCGCACACACGTACAGACCCCTCTTCGGCCACCCGCGAAGGGACAAGCTCTCCTAGGGAAGGCAGATCTCAACCTGGGCACGGCAGAGGGGGAGAAGCGGCAATAACCACTCCCAGCGGAGGGGCGGCACAGCCGGATGAGGCAGGCGTGCGACGTGTGAGGGGGGGGAGCCCCCGACGGAGCCCCCCTCCCCAGTGGGCAGCCTGCGGGCAGCCCTGCCCTCTCCAGGAAGGCTCTCTGTCGCCTCTCCTGCTCTGGGGCAGCCCCTGGGAGGGCGCAAGGGCACTCGCCCACCTCCGGGGGCTCGCCGAAAAGAACCCCTTCAATTCCACGCCTACAGGAGGACAGCGGAGTAGGAAGAGGGGAAGGGAAGACGGGAGGACAACGCAACTCACATGCCAACCCGCATCAGGCTCTTAATCCAGGAAGAGAATCCCGAGCGCTCCAGCGGAGCTCTGCCCAGCGGCACCGAGGGGATAAGGATGAAACACCGCCTCGGCAGTGCTGAGCGGCGGTTCAGCACCGGGGACAGTGACAGCGCCATAGGGGTGCGCGCCCGCGGAGCGCCCGCGCCCTTGGAGTGAAGCGGACCTGGCCCCGATGCGCACATGTAAGACCGGCGGGCAGCCGCGGGGCTCTGCTTCTTTCAGAGCAGGCTCTTCTGTCAGGTCCTCCGAGAAGTGCCCTGGCTCTAATGCCACTCCCTAGTTATGCACTGAGAAGTTTCGTTGGGGTTAGAGGTGTCTCGGTGTGACTCGATCTCCTACAAGCTTCAGTATGGGCTGGTGGGAGTGAGGTGGGTGGCTGCGTGTGAAATTGGTTTGGCTTTCGACCCTTGGAATTTGTGCAAGCATGCTCGGTCTCAGTGTACCTTGAAGGGATTGTTTGTTAGCAGCCACATGGTTTGGAGTCACGTTGTTGTCTTCTCTTGTATCTGGGTGAATGCTTAAAGGTTTGGGGGTCTTTTTGTTCCTGAAAACAGCGTGGCCAAGATGAAATGAGATAAAACAAGTGGTATAAATACAGGACACTGTATCGTGCTTGTTGCAGCTTGCTGGGTCTAACAGTCGTCAGGAGTGCTTCCCTCCAAGTTTTTTCTTGTCTTGAAATAACTATGAAGTGAGCAGTGAAAAGGGTGCAGGGAGAAATGAAATCCAGCCCGAACCGAGATTACCAGTTCTTTTCAGAGCTTGTTATTCTCTTTTCAATAGAACTGTTTGTTGAAAATCAGCGTTACAGTGCCCCCTGCTTGCACGATTAGAAATATTCTTCATTGCTTTCATCTGTAGTAAAATTTTATGAATGAACAGGTATTCCTGTTGTGTTCTTGGTATAATCTGAGCCTGAGTTCTGAAGTGCTTCAGCAGTGAAGGTGAATTATTCCTAGTTCCCAAAACCATATTAAAACCAAAAGATGTAGGACTCATTCTTCTTGTGGCAATTCATCTAGTGGCCAGACATGTTAATGAATGGACGATGGGAGAGAATGTAAAAATAGTCTTTGGTATATCTGTCTTACATGTGTTTTATTAGACTGTTGTAATAATCAGTCATCTCCACAATGGTATAGCAAGGGGAAGCAAGGAAGGAAGGAAGGAATTAAAAAAACCCATTACTTATAACACAAGAAGAAATTGAATACAACAACCAAGGAGATTATTTTTCAGTCTCTCCTGCTGTAAAAGTCTTGTATTGTTGCATGACATTGCTTTGGAATGGGAAATAAAATGCTGATGCTTAGTTTATAAGAAGGAGGTGGACGAGACCACTGGGAAGCTGTGGATGGGTTTGTCTGAAAAAAAGAGCTGGTAGAAAGCCAAATTCCATTTCCTTTTTTCAAACCACGAGGCAGAGCTGCCTGCTTTCTAACAGAGATCAGGGAGGATGTGAAAATTTAGATGCTGGTAAAGATTTGGTGGTCTGTCCTCAGTGTTTCCAGGTTATTGGCCTCAGAACTTATGCTTTGTGACAAGAAGACGATGGGAATGGTAGTGTGTGTCATTCATCAGCATCCTTTAATCACATGAGAGGCCTGGCTTGTCTTCCTGAATGTACCTTGTGCTGCCATTTCTTGAAGGGCTTTGGAAAGTTGTGCTTTTGCTGCCTGCACCAATACTTTCACAAAGAGAGAAGCCTCTTCTAAAAGTTTGACCTTGAAATATCATTTTCCTTTACCTATGTGAACAGTGGGAATGGCAGGAATGGGATATTATTTCCTGAAGCTGCTTTGTAGGACTACTCTGCAAGTGAATGAGCATCTGCCTGAACAGAGCTAAAAGAAATCTATTAACTGTCCCTAGACATATATACAACTTTTCATGTAGGAGAATGCCCATGCTGCTAATAGTACTGAATTAATGAATTTAGACATCCCAAGCTTAAATAAAATGGCAGTTAAGTATTTAAATGCATTAAAAAATAAAAGTTGCTATTAATCAGCAAGAGATACTGCATCTGTATACATACACAGTAAGCAATATATGAAAAAGAGTACTTAAGTCTTTTGGTTTTAAGGATAGCATCTTGGCTTCAGGTAACATTTAGGTTATTTAAGACATTAGAGAAAAAAAAGAGTCTCAGAGACCTCTGGTGATATATGTCTATTCAGCATTTGGAACACCTATTGAATGTAGGGTAGCAAGGGTGAATGGAGGAAAACGGTCCATTTGATGTGTAAGAGCTGTGTCAATTCCAAAGAGGCCACAGGGAGTCTGCAGCCTTTCTGAGCCCTGATTCTTTTTAGAAATATTGATGTAAGTAGAAAGAAAAATAATAAGTGAAGTGTCAATCTGGCAACTTCTGAAGTGCTGCAGGAACCAAGGGTAATGCTTTCAAAACGGTGTTCAGAAACTTAGGTTTCCTTTTCAACAAGACAGAATCAATGTCTCATCAAAGCCTACTCTGATGGTTGCTTCACCCAACAAGGGGCATAGTAACGGTTACATATCCAAAGTTTCTTCTGTAGTTTCAGGACAAAGGGGCCATTGAAAGGGCACAAGGAAACTGTTGCCAACCTCTCTCCACTGACTGAAAGCAGACCCAGAGTGTAGTCAGAGACCATAAGTTCCCAAAGCTGCCTTTGTAAAAGCTGTGCTCAATTTTTCGGCTTTAAGACAAGTAAAGGTTGGTGCAGTACCTAATACCCATTGATTTAAACACTAATTCAGACTTCAGATGTTAAAACACTCAAGCAGATACTATTCAGCCTGTCCTACGTGCTTTTAAAGTTCTGGTTCAAAGCCATGTGTAAAAACTCCTATTTAGCCTCTTAAAGCACTTAGGCCTTTGAACATTTTCTTCAAGCCTTAGCTCTAGGTCTTAGCCCTACTCTTGCATAGGTTCTTGTGTAGGGCTAGAGAGGCAGCAGAAGGTCCTGTGTGGCATAATCTGGAGCCCTGTGGAAAGGAGGATCAAGGAGAATGAGCGTTTGCTAGGATAACTTCCATATGAAGCAGCCCAGCCTTGTCCTACACATCTGGCACTCAGAAGAGTTAAGTGAGTGTGGTTGCAAGACAGGAGAGTTGCAGCTTCCACATTAGGAACAAATCTCATGTGATGCCATGTTCCCTTTTCAGATGGTGAGTGTCTTGGCACCTACTACTGTCAGCACAGGTTGCAAGGACCTACTCTTAGCCACTTTAATTAGAAACTGAGACGCTCCCAGAGGAAGATCTGTGAAGAGCTAAACCACATTTCAGAAACTGCTATTCTTCTCCACTCCCCACAGCAAAATGCTCCAGACGTTTTATGGCTCCCTCAGCTGTGTAAAGCTGGATGCACATTGCTAAGAGCAGTACTTAGGCCCTGATATTCTTGGCTATCTTTTTCCAGATCATTTTGTCTGCAACAACACTGCATACGTTGGCGTTCTTTCCTAGAAAAACACGATGTTTAATTGCATTGCGTGATGCGTTTGATCAGTAGCTGTCTCAAGGAAATATGCAAATTCAGATTCATTTCAATGCAGAAGACCTTTAAACAAAAATGGTACGATATATACAATCAAGTTACAATTACCTCATTTTAAGAGGGCACATTGCACATGCCCAGTAAATATGATTAAACCTGCCTGCTCATAACTGAAGAGCAGAATAGAAAAAGGTGCTGAGTACAGTCACGGCATTACAGTAGGGTTCAGTTTCCAAGATCTTCAGCTGCTGCCTATATTACTCTTTGCACTACCTCTTCTCTATCATGATTCAGTGCTCAGGTCAAACATAATTACAACTTTCTTTTAGCACAGGAGTTGATAGCTGATCATTTCTCGTGAAATTATTCAAAGTTAAAAGTATAATTTTTTATTCATCTCTTGTTCTCTATAAAGATAATGAAGTGTGATAGTTGAGATATTGATCTTCTCTGCCCATGAGCAAGATTCAGAGTCATAATTCATCTGAGTTATGGTGCTTATGTCCTTACCTGCAGGCAGTGGAGAGCAACTCTGTGCTATAGGGACATCCCTGTGGAACATTTATTGCAAGATAAACGTTGTATAATAAAATCCTTTGTGAGGGCAGGTGTGCTTTACTGTTACCTCTTTTTCCAATGCAGTTTCTGTTGTTAGAAGCTGTGTGAAAGCAGTGTTATCTCTGAAGAAAGTGAAACAAAGGTCTTTATTTTTTGGCATGTTATTACATATACAACAAGCAGGTATGAATTAGCTCTAGGCCAAAATATAGCCTTCTTTCTCAAACAAAAGCCTTATATCTGGGACAATGTTAATACTTTATGTAGGTTTATGTTTACTTTGGGTGTGACTATAAGGTTATTTGTCCCACCCACTTGGGTTCTCTTTTAGAGGTAAAAGAGAGAAAAGTTTTTCTAAAATAACAAAGTATCAGGAATTACACTTGGGCATCAGGCAAAATATCTAATAGGTTCCTCACTGCTGGAAATTATCCATCTTTCTGAGGTGCTTCCAGTAATGACCATTAAATATAACAGCAAATACAAGGTTGCCAAATATCTTACTATTCATGGCTTCTGAACATCAGCAAAGCCCAGTGGAATTCCTCCAGCTTGACACAGCTATTGTAATTGACTGTCCTAAGATATTTCGGTGTGTGCAACCCTGCCATACTTACAGGTCATCATGAGCAGCTACAGAAGCTAGATTAGTTTCCACTTGTAACAACAGTTATTTAAGCCATCACCAGCTCATTCTCTGGAGTTGCTGAACATTTTAAGAGGCTTCATCAAGGAAATCCCAAGACTGCAGATGTGTGAAGTGCTTTTTGGTGCTATTAGTCCCCATTTAACAAAGTCACAGTTTAGAAGTGTTTATTTGTGTGTAGAGTCCTTACTGGAACTCAGACTTCAGAGGAGGCTTAAAACTTAAATGATAGATAAGCACTTTTTCATATGGTTAAATACTTCACTTTAAGCACATCTTAGTACCTTTGGCTTCACTGGGACTGCTTCTGAGATGAAAAGTAATTGCTGGGGACATGGAAGGGGATGTGTAGGTTCATATATGCGAATACATGCTTGCAAAATCTGGACTCTACTGAAATCCATGAAACTTGTACTGTTGATTTCTAAGGGGCCTCAACTTTATCCCTGGAATTATGCTGCTTTCCTGCTGTCTCCTGGTCAGTGTTAGATACATTAATCCTATGATTTTTTTAGCTGTTATTGTTTTATCTTATGGAACACTTCATGCAGTCTTGGGAATTAATTGGTTTAATCATTTCACCTTCATTATTCTTGTGGCCTTCATCTCTGAATTTCTTCAATTTCCAACCACACCAAAAGGGGTTAGTTTTAAGATCCATAGAACACTTTATCTCTCAGTGGAGCATGGGATAATATGTTCATTTTCTTCAAGCTTTATTAAGTTGTTACACTGACGCATCAAAGCTTTGGGGGAGAGGTTCATAATAATGAACCTTTCTTTCAACCTTGTATGGTCACAGAATTTCTCTCTTAGGTTTTTTTTTACATTTTAATGTAGCTGCTAAAAAAATGCTGTAACATTTGTTTGAAACTCTTCAATATTTGCTTTCTGCCCTAATCTGTAAGAAAAAAGTGATGAATTAAAATAATAGAGGCGTGAATATGTATTAGTTCCACAAGAACAGCTACCTTGAGATTTTGTGTGTCCTGGCACTTTTTAGGTAGTCTGGGTTTCTGTTATAATTTGTTTTCCTGGGGTTTTGCTTGATTCCATTACATTCTATTGAAGGCAGTGTATCTACTCCACTGGCACCTTTCCCTCTTGTCATTCACAACAGTGCTTTCAAACTCCAGTAGTATTTTTTCAGAGCAACATGAATTTTTCATTGACTGAAGGTCAAAGCTGACTTGGAGAACAGATGGAGCATGGAAAGGTGAACCTTTGCCACCCCACTGAGCATTAACACCTGCTTGTTACATCTGCCTATTGCAGCTTAGAGGCTCCTGAAAATGTTACCCAAGTGATTTAGGACTTGTTGTTGAACTGAGTGCAAATGGGTTTTGGGAAAGAGGTGTTGTTTTTACCTCTTTACTCAGACTGCCCATTCTGTGGGCTTAGGATGATGATTAACTCTATGTGCTTAGGCTCTAAAAGAAGGACTAGGATTTTGTTGAGGTTACTGTAATAAGAGTTAAAAACAGCAACATCAAGATGGCCCTGAATGCAAAATATGAATGTTTTAAAAATACAGATAGATTTAGGATTTGGGTTAATTTCATAAACTCCTCCTCAAGCTTGGTTGTATATAGCATAGTTTTCTCTGGGGATTCCAGAGAAGGCAGAATAACATTAGTTTGCCACCAACTCCAAGTGAAGGCATTTCAGTCACTTCATCAGTGGGAAAACTGCCCTCTGTTTGAGATCATAAACCTGTGGTCCTGTCTTTCTGCAGTTGCTCTCTGAAAGATGCTTACCAAGGAATGATGCAACACTAAATCAGGAGTTATTCCTGTGCTTTTCAAGACTGGCCCCTGGCTTTGGATACTTGTATTTAGAGTAACTGCCAACTGTATTTCAGTGAGAAAATTAGTCATTCATTAAACTGCTCTAGATCAGGAAATAGAAAAATGGTATTATGTAGCATGAAAAAAGCAGTGAATGAATAGGTGGTTTGCTTGCACCAGCTGAATCTCAGCAGAATATGTGATATATTTATCCTTGTTGCTGTGTGTTTAAAATTAGAATCACACTTTTTAAGCTTATGGAACATTATTTATTGGCCTGATCCAAGGTCTGTTGACATTGGGAGTCCTGCTAATTCTCTTTAGGGCTCATGCCCTCAAGGATGGAATTCAAGAAGAGCAAATGGGAGAAATACTTTGTGGATATCATTCCTAATTACTGTATAATAAAGTTCTAAATAATAAAAATGGAAAACAATGTGTTCATAATTTGGGGAGGGCTGTTTCTGAAGTTAAGAATGTACTGTGTATTCTTGTTGAAATCCAGAAGGCTGTACAAGTCAGAACTTGTCTGTTGTTCAGAAAACTAATCATTATTCCTACATATATGGATGCATAGGATATATGTCTCCTATATGATTTTAAACTACATAAAAAGCCAGCAAGAGCTGATCATAATGAGCCATTTCTAACCTTATTTCAGGTTATGTGAGATTATGGCTCTCCAGGAATATAACCAGCCTTTCTTTCTGGTTTTCTGCAGGTTGAGAAACAGCAACTTTAAAAACATGCATCGCAGGCACACAACCCTTCGGGAGAAGGGCCGGAGGCAGGCCATCCGGGGCCCAGCCTACATGTTCAATGAGAAAGGCACCAGCCTGACTGCAGAGGAGGAACGCTTTCTCGATTCTGCGGAATATGGCAACATTCCCGTTGTGCGAAAAATGCTGGAGGAATCCAAAACCTTGAACTTCAATTGTGTCGATTATATGGGACAAAACGCCCTTCAGTTAGCTGTAGGCAATGAGCATCTGGAAGTGACAGAGCTCCTCCTCAAAAAGGAGAATCTTGCTCGGGTTGGAGATGCGCTTTTGCTAGCCATCAGTAAAGGATACGTGCGCATTGTAGAAGCAATATTGAACCATCCAGCCTTTGCCCAAGGACAGCGCCTCACGCTCAGCCCCCTTGAGCAGGAACTGAGAGATGATGATTTTTATGCTTACGATGAGGACGGAACCCGGTTCTCCCATGACATTACCCCTATTATACTTGCTGCCCACTGCCAGGAGTATGAAATAGTTCACATCTTACTTCTAAAAGGTGCGCGGATTGAAAGGCCACATGACTATTTTTGCAAGTGCAATGAATGTATTGAGAAGCAGAGGAAAGATTCCTTTAGTCACTCTCGATCAAGAATGAATGCCTACAAAGGATTAGCCAGTGCTGCTTATTTGTCTCTTTCCAGTGAAGACCCTGTCCTTACTGCTTTAGAGCTAAGCAATGAATTGGCCAGACTAGCCAACATTGAAACTGAATTTAAGGTAATTTACCCCCGTACCTTTTTCCTTGGGCTGAATGTGTTTAGGGTACTGTATGTTTTACGCGCTTGATCATGTCTTGGTTTGACATTTGAGGGGATGGGGGAGGAACCAGAAGCTATAGAAATTGCCAGATGTGTTAGCTACACACATTCAGATCACTCTGCATTCTCCAGCTAATAAATGTTTGGAACTGAATATTGCATATGATAGCAGAGACATCGTTTCTCAGAGTTTCTATGTTGCAGGCTGTGATTGATTAGAATTTCTAGTTTGTGGCAGGAATAAAAATCAGATTATTACAAAAATGGAGACTCGTTTTTTGTAAGAAAGGTAAGTCTTTTAATGACAAATCTATTTTTGAGGAAGAGCTCTAGAGGTTGGTTTAATGGCTTAAGAATCCAGTACATCTAGTTCTGTTGCAATGATAAAAGGTATAAATTTCTAGTTCTGTTACAAAGATAAAAGGCATAAATTAAGCAAATTTGGTTCTCTGTAAAATAATATAAATTGCACTGCATCTTAATGGTTTAGTACTGCATCTGTATATGAAGAACTTCATGGAAAAGGAAGAGATAAATGATTAAGAGATGGATATGAAGTTTATTATCTTGCCAAACAGTGGAACTTGCAGAACTGTCTTACAAGTTATTTAAGATTTGCATTACCAGAATGAGTTTGTAAATGTCCTATGTCATTTCCATTCTTTCTTTAAGTCATTTGCATGACATAAATAACATTGTGTCCCTTTCTAAAATAAATTAGTCATGAAAAAACTCATTTTCAGTTGCTCAGTCATCAACATAAGGATGTTTTCTAACTTATGACTACTGTGCAGCTACAATCGCTATCAGTGACACTGGGGTAATAAAATCTATGTTGTGAGTAAGCTAGTGGAGGATGCCAGCCAGGAATTCATTATTTTTAATTTAGAAAACTCTTCAAGTGTTAAAACATCCATTTTAGGATTTGTAGCTATATGCTGTAAAGGATTAGGGCAGTGATCATCCCCCTGTACTTGGCACTGGTGAGGCTGCACCTCGAATCCTGTGTTCAGTTCTGGGCCTCCCACTACAAGAGAGACATTGAGGTGCTGGAGCAGGTCCAGAGAAGGGAATGGAGCTGGTGAAGGGCCTGGAGCACAAGTGTGATGCAGAGATGAGAGTGTTTATCTGGAGAAGGCTCAGGGGGGACCTTATCACTCTCTATAACTACCTGAAAGGAGGTTGCAGTGAGGTGGGGGTCAGTTGGTTCTCCCAAGTAACAAGCTATAGGACAAGATGAAATCACCTCAAGTTGGATTTAGATTGGTTACTGGGAAAAAAATGTCTTCAACAGGAGGGTCGTCAGGCATTGGAACAGGTTGCCCAGGGAAGTGGTGGAGTCACCATCGCTGGTGATATTTAAAAGACATGAAGATGTGGCACATTACAGTTGGACTTGATCTTAAAGGTCTTTTCTATGATTCTCTGCTCTCCAATTTAAAAGTGAGAGGAAAGCACATTCTTAGGCTGTTCCCTTTGAAACTCTGTAGTAAGTCTCTAACAGGAAAAAAATATCTAAACCACTGACCATTTTTGGCAATAAAATTAAGGCAAAATCTTGCAAACCCCTTTTACCCATGTGAATCACAATCTCAAGGACACAATAATTTAAACGGAGTTTTTACTTGCAAGGCATTCAGTCCTAGTGAAGCAACATTACTTGGTTCACCGAATCTGGATGCTTGAGTGAGGGCTACTCCTTCATGGAAGCACTGCGGGCTCACACCCATAGTTAACAACTTTAATATCTCATTAATGTTGCAGCCTCTTTTCAGTAGGAAATATATATAGTGTGGAACAGGAGCAGTCTTGTACTGCACGCTTGTCAGTTCTGATAAGTGTCTTGCTGCACAAAAGTAAATTAATTTCTATCAGAGTCCTGCCTTTTTTTCATAGAGCTGCCAAAATGGTCTAGACTGGCACTGGCAGGTACATGAATCCTCGAGGAGCAAGCAAGCAATCAAATGTTAAATAGTCCCATGGTGGTTGTATCTCCCCAGCATTGGGAAATGGGTGCGAGTAAACCAATGCTGGAAAACAAATTATAAATACTTTGCTAAATTACTGTATTTCCAATTTCATTGCCTCTTTGGAAGGTTCTGAGCAACACACCTCTATGGAGTGGGTTGCCCAGGGAAGCTGTGAATGCTCCATCCTTGGCAGTGTTCGAGGCCAGGTTGGACAGAGCCTTGGGTGAGATGGTTTAGTTTGAGGTGTCCCTGCCCATGGCAGGGGGGGGTTGGAACTGGATGATCTTAAGGTCCTTTCCAACCCTGACTATTCTATGATTCTATATGGAAGTGAAGTACCTCAAAATATCCATACCAATAGTTTACTTCAAAGTTGTCACATTCCTTTGGTATATTAATGCTTCCAGAAATAAGAAGCTTCTCAAGGTTATAAAGTATTCTCATTGTAGGAAAAAAATCATGTGTTTATGCAAAAATATTTATTCTTATTAACATAAATGTGATGTGAAATAGGGTATTAATAAAAGAGAAAGGTTTTTGCACAGAACATGACATTCTGAGAATTCATTTCCAGAAAATGCTGAAAACATATTTAAGAAGCTCACAAATTATGAAGATTTATGGAAGCAGACAAGCTCCAGAGGACTCCTTTTGTGCCTAAAATAATAATTTCCTCGAATTTCTAATTTTTAGCACCAAAGTTCAATCATTACAATTGGCGCTCAACAGATTCATAAAATTATCCCTTGGGATTATTTCAGAATGGTTATTTATATGCAGTCTTAGGCAATACAGTTTTCAGGAGGTACAAAAAGTCCTTGAAACGAAGGACATGAGTAAGATTTTAATACTGTAGGTGGACAAATAGTAATTAAGTAACCCCTAAAGAAAATCCTAGCATGAGCTAATTAAAATATAAATGCAGTGCCTCTCACCTGCTGCTTGCTGCCCTAAATCTGTTATGCAATAGCACCATTCAGCACAGCAGAGTGGGGAGCTAATACATGCACTATGTTTTTAGAGAGCACGAAATTTCTTAGGTGAGTTGCCTCTTTGTAGACTTGAAAGAAAACAGCCATGTGAATGGGTTTAAAGGAGAAAAGTTGCATTAGCTGTGGTTGGCCATAGTTTAAAAGACTCTGGTGAAGATTACTAGGTGGGAATCATTTTATCCTTTCTTTTTTAAGGTGGCAAAAGTTGAATATATTGTTCTCACCCCAAATTGCTATGTCTTCACTGCAGTTCTTAGCAATGTCTTTGCATAAGCATTGCACACCACAAAGTAGTATGGGAGTGTTACTAAGGTGAAAATGGGAATATGCACATACACTAGATCACACTGGCCCTCAGCAGACTTTCCTTGACTGATAATAGGTCTTTAACAGCAAGAGTAGATGTTCTGGCTCTCAGTTTAGAGTGGACATACTGCCCTATTGAACTCTTTTCCTGTATCTGCTGATTCTTTAACAGCAAGAGTAGATGTTCTGCCTCTCAGTTTGGAGTGAATATACTGCCCTATTGAACTCTTTTCCTAATCTGCCGATTTTGGCTCAAAAACGAGGTCAAGACAGTCAGCTGCTATGTGGCTTCCCACATGCTGAAAAGAATAACAGTGGAGTCTTGGAGCTGGAAGAAAGAGGGAAGCTGTCAGAGCTGATCAATGCCGATGGTTTTACTGAGACAGATACTCTATTGGGGTAAATCAGCTCTCTTTCACTGAAGCTTAGAGGAGGCCATAGATGTGGATCTATCCCAGTATTTAGAACAAATTTATAGTTTGGATCAATGTTGCTGTGTCATTATTTCAAGCAGATGTCACCTTTTGCAATGCTTATTGAAGAGGATGGGGGAAAAAAATGGAATAATGTTACATTCACATAGAAGTAATTTCATTTTTCCTTTTAAATTTTCTAGTGTCAAAATGATGCAAAAAGGTTTTCTTATTAATGAGAGAAAACAAATCACTTTTAAAGATGTAGCCCATGAGTCTAGAAAAAAATAGCCCCCTTTCCCCTAATAAGGTAAAAGGTATTGAACTGGTTGGTACTACTGAAAATGCTAATGATTCAAGTGCATTAAATATCCTGGCAATTAGCCTAGAAATGGGGTGGGTAGGAAACCCTTCAGAGGTAACTACAGCATAACACATTTCTAAATTACAAGCCTCTTGCTGTCACTTTTCTTTTTAACTGTTGTCCTTCCTCTGAAAAACATTGGGATCCAAAAGCACATCCTAGCTGTGAGCCTGCTCTGGTGTGCAGGTGAGCATCGTGCTCAGGCTCAGCTGGCTGATGGACCACAACAGGTTGCTTTGCTATTAGTGGGGAAGCAATGGCTGCATGGCTGCAAGTCAAGCATGTAAATGCTTACAGATATGCTCCTGCTAGGAACTGGTTGTTGTTTCACTGGGGTAATGGCAAACAGCTGAGGTTCAAATCCTTAAATTCTTATGATGGTTAAAGAGTGGCAAAACAGCTCTGTAGACTCAGTGACTTGTACCTGCTAGGGAGGATCTGGCATCCTGCTGCACAGTTCTTGCTCCAGTAAGTCAGCTCCTTTTTGTTACCTAAATGCAAATTGTGAACTTCACAGGATGTGCCTGAACTTCTAAAGAGAAATGACCTTGTAGATTTTCTCAGTATTTCTGGCTTTATTTCTGCAAATGAGAAAGTGGGACCAGGTTCTTTGAGGTTGACACTGCTCTGCTGTTGAGAGGTAATAAGCACTGAAATAGCTGGTTGCATCTTGCTAAGAAGCTGCAGCTTTTTAGGGTTTGTGGCTCTGCAGCATTGAAGAAAACCTCCAAACTTCTTCCTCTGTCAGGCCTTCCTGGGTATTGCTGAGGGCAAACACATCAGAGATTTTAGACTGCTTCCTTTTCCCATCATGATTGCTAAACTTGGTGAAATTTGACTTAATGAAAGTCTGAGTCTTTAAATACAAAATAAGGAGGGCAGTTTCTTTTTAAATTTGTAAGAAAACAGGAGGT